TGCCTGTTGCAATTGCTGCTCCTGCACTGCCACTGCCAGTGCCAGTGGCTCCGGCTGGGGTGGTCACTCCTGCGGTAGCGCTGCCATCCTCCAGTGTGAATGGATCGGATCGCCCGCCCATCAGCAGCTGGAGTGTGGAGGAGGTCAGCAACTTTATCCGAGAACTGCCTGGGTGTCAGGACTACGTGGATGACTTTATCCAGCAGGAGATTGACGGTCAGGCGCTGCTACTGCTTAAGGAGAACCATCTTGTGCACGCCATGGGCATGAAGCTGGGCCCAGCCCTCAAAATAGTAGCCAAGGTGGAGTCCATGAAGGAGGTTCTGCCGCCAGGCGATTTGAAGGATGCGGCCGGTGGGGCGCAATAGTGTCAGCGGGATGAGCCAGGAGATGAGATAATGCCATCGCCCTCGTATTCGATTACTCCGCCGCCGTATTCGCCGGTGGGTCCGGGGTCGGACAGGCAAACCGTTCCAACACCCACTCCCGCTCCTGCCAGCACTCCGCCGGAGTCTGAGGATAGCAGCGGGGGCAGTCACCTGTGCTTCGACCTGACCACACGCCTCTGCCACGACCTTCGGCTGGAAGAGGAGCCGTAGCTCTGGACCGGGTCCAACCCGGTCCGTCGCCCAAGCTGAATCTGATTCACTTGAAGCGCGCGCTGTAGACTTTTTGTACGTAATTTAAAATAACTAGAGGGGTGTTGTCGTAGCTCAAGCAAAAGGCCGCCGCATGTATGATAAAGCATAGACTGTTGTCCCAGTCATCAATTCATCAATCAACTTGTATAGAACTTCACCATAACAATTAAGCGCTAACGTATTTATTTGAACGTTGTTTATCACTACACAACACCCTATGGGAAGAGCATGAAAAAATCACTTAAACTAGAGGTAAGCTGGGAATATTCTTAGATATTTAGCTTTAAAACTTAAGCCTGAAGTAATTCCTAAGTGAAACTGAATTGAATACGACAACTGAACATTTAATTTATTGACTAATTTAGCGCATGATGAGTAGCGTTTTAAGGCACTCTGGCTGGCAAGGCTAGATCCCGAAAGCACAGTCAAACTTCCATAACTCGAATTAATAGTATAGATTTCTGGGAAGGAGCATTTTTTTTTGTTATTTTTTAAAAAAAAGCTAGTTAATAATAAATTTTTTTTGTAATAGAAGTATCCTTTTTTTTATATTCAAATAAAATTTTGTTCCCGAAATCAAATCGATCGGTTCAATAAATTCTGAGATATAATTATGTATTATATTAAAAATGTCGGTCATTTAGCTTTGTTCTATGAATTCGACTTGAGATAAACTTACTGAAAAACTGTACAATAAAATCGATCACCAGATGGGTGCTTTACTGTTACCTCTTAAAATAGAAACATTTGGATTCAAACAATATTATTTATAGATAAATTCGAGTTATGGAATTCGACTGTATCTTCAAATTTACCTTAGGTTACACATACATACACAAGCATCTTAATATATAATAAGATATATTCAATTTTTTTTTAAAGTTCCGTGGTTGTATATTTTGTTTACAACATTTTTTTCCCATCGCTGAACAAAATAAAAACTGTCACTGTTTAGTGTTAAATTAACGAGAATATGAAGTCTAAATCGAGTTTTAATGGTACGAGGGATTTGAAAAGGATATTTGGTTGCTATTCAGTTCTCTCATCAATGTTAGTTGCGTTTCTGAATATATAATTTTATTTTTAACCAAAAGTTAAAAATAATTCCACCCAACTCCGTTATCTGAAAAATCTTTTTATGATTCAAAAGTAACAAAATAAATACTTATTTTTGGAAAGGTTATTTGTAATATGGTTTATTCAATAATATATATTTTTCTTTCAAATATGCAGACACATAAAAATGTTGAATATATTTTCAATATTGTTATTATCGGTATAATGTTTCGAACTGCTATGCCTCTTAAGGTTTTCAATTTAATTCCATAATAATATTTTGTGGCTGTGTTAAAGTTTTAATGTTTGTTTGTTGCGTTTGTTTAGTGTTTGCAGATTGATTTACATATAGATTTGCTTCAACATTACAACGATTTTGTTTTCTCTATAATTTATTTGGTGTTGACTTTTGTCTCGATTTTCACATTCGTTTTGTTGCGTTTAATTAATTTGTTACGATCTAGAGCTAAGAAAACGTTGTTTATTGCGTTTATCGCGTTTCGTCGTGGGCTTGTTTACCTTTTGTTCTGGGTTGTTACCTATAGTTCCAATTTAATCGTCATTGTTCAACAATATTTGCAGTATGCTACACATATATCTAATGCTCGTAGGTCGGTTAATATTTCATATGCTAAGATAACTACTTTTTAGTTGCTTTTTGTATATAGATATATATATTTGCATTTTCGTTTTCATTTTTGTTTTTTTTTTTCGGATTCAATGGAAAAGTCACAGAGTTCTGCGCTGTAATTCGTCTCTAAATATATATTATTTATACTCCATATGGTATATGGTACTATAACACTTGTATTATGCAAATTGGCAACATTTGAACAAAGAAAACGTCGTCTCTATTTGGTTTTTTCTTGTATTCATGCAACATCGAAACCGCACAGAGGTTTCGGTAAAATTCGAACAACTTCTCATCGGACTATGAACACGGGGTTGAGTTTGCATCGAGTGGTTACCTTATAGACGTACTTGAGGTTGAGGATGGAGTAGGATGATGGCTTCGCGGGGATGGGTGATGGGTTCGAAATCGGTTTTGGGAAATCGGTTGAGGTTTTTGGGGGCTGAGGTCCTACTTGCGAATATCGTTATCTAAAGTAAGTCACTTTAGCAATTTGTTTTTGGTGTTTGCTTTCTACTATGGATAAGTTAGTGTATTGTTTACATTTCGCTTTCGCCTAGATACAATTTAAGAATTATTTAAGTTTAAAGCGTTTCTTTGCTCTTGGTTTTTTTTTTTTTTTTTGGTTTTTGGTGTTTGGTTCTTCTGTTTTTTTTTTCTTTAATATCCACGTCGTTATTTTGATTTAGGTTCATTCTTATTGATCTTAACATCGTTGTTTGAAATGTTTTGTGGTCTGATGTCTTCGATGAGGCCTATTGGTGTTTGGTTGCTTGTTGGCTTTGTGTTGTTTTGTTTTGTGCTTTGGCATTCATCTCTCCCTCAGCTAGCTGCTTCGTTGGACTGCTTTTTCCATATCCGATCTCCATATTCCTCATCTTTCTATATGCTATAGAAAAATATAACACGATAATAATGGGGCGCTTGGCTTGTCCCGCATTTCAAGATCAAAACAATTCGCATCCCCGCTGGGGAACTCACATACAGATTCACCTTCGTTTCTGGGGGCCACTAGGTCACCGCCCAGTCGAAGCCAGGCTTCGACTTACTCTTCCATTTCAATTATCGTATCATAGGCTAACTATATAAAGTACTAGATCACGCACTTACACTCACGTTCGTCGTCCGATTGGGAACACAAATCCCCCGCTGATGGTGCTCAGATAGTGGGTGGAAGATCGTGGGTGGAAGGTCGGGGGTCAGTTCAGATTCGTGTGGGTGGTGGTTGGGGTGAACACATGAGTACTTATTGTTCTAACTGAGAGATGTGCGAGAGACTGTGGCTCCCTCTTCTCCCTTCTGTGCATCATCAATGTTTTTGGTTCCGTCTTGGTCGAGGCATTTCGATATAAGGCTAGGTTCCTAAGTGATCGGGTAATTGTTTGAGTTCGTTCAGGATCTTTTGTAACATAACGTAGGTGAGGAACTAAAAAAGCAAAGCGTACAACAAACATGCAAAGAAAATAAAATATAATGTGTTTTTCTTTTCGTGTATCGCATATAAAATGTTTTATTTTTTGATGTATAAATACAAATATAATTTGTGTTGTTTTTAGTTTTGTATTCGTTTTTCTGTTTTGTTTTTTTTTTTTTTTTTGTTTTTGCAAGATCAAGATGAATAACAATTTAAAGCACAAAAGCATAAAGTAAATTAAGATAAAATAAAGGTATATATTAACTATATATTACTTAGATTTGCAGATTAATCTAAATGGTGTTTATTTTCCTGCTGCTGATATTGAGTAATTCCTTCCTGTATATTTTTGATTTAGCAAATGGTTTTTTTTGTATAATTTGTTTTTTTGCAGCGCCCAAGGTACCGTGGTTAAATATTGCATATATAGTTTGATTCTGCTTCAGCGTTTGAAATAATAAACTTAGTCAAAGGGCACACTCGCACATACACAGAAAGAGAGAGTGAGAGAGAGAGAGAGAAAGGGAAAGAGAGACACAGACACACAATAAATGTATAATTTCTAAAGTTATAAATTTAAAAATACAATTTTTTCGATCATTTAAAATGTAACACAATGGGCAACGTTATATAATCAATCATCAATATACAATCAATAACACAATACAATCACTTAATTAATGGGCATGGGGAGCGAAACAAGGGGAAAGGGGAAATAGATATTGGCTGCTAGAGATATAGATATAGATCGGGATCTGTTAAGCTGTAATCTTAGTTTTCTTATCCTAGGGACGACACGCTTAAGCGCTTCTTAGCTTTTTTTGTTTACCTCTAATCTGTTCTCTTCTCATCTGTTCTGTTCTGTTCTGTTCGGTTATTCTGTCTGCCGCCCTATGCTGATCTCGTTCGCCTCTGTTCTCATCTGCTTCTGTTACGGTTACGGTTACTGTTACTGTTCTCGCTGTCATTCGAATCACAATCAACGCTTTTTGTATCATTATCGTTACGTGCTTACTGCCTTAGTTACTCCTCTAACTTCTCCTCTTCCGATTTTGTCAACACTTACAACACTAAAAACTTGATTTGCATTTGCTTTTTCATCTTCCACACTCCAACCGGTTACCCGTTTCCATTTCAAATTGAATTTTTCGGAGTTGGACATCAATTTTTTGAAATTACAACTTTTCGGGATTTCTATTTGTAAACTTGAAATGTAAATAGTTTTTGAAAATTTAAATAATATGAATAGTTACCAGATTGAATTTAAATTGGTCGGAATTTTAATTTAAATTGAAAAGTTTTACATTATGCTCACCAAAAATGTGAAAAACTAAATTTTTAAAATTTAACTATTCTGGCTTGCAACCAGAGCAATACACTTAAATTTTTGGCCTAAGTTCAATTTCATATCTAAAGCAAAAAGTATTCGAAAAAGTGAAATACTATCCAAGAATGCCGATTCTTGCAAATCCAAAGCGGTATTGAACTGGGAACGGGTCCCAAGCATTTTGTTGCTGCGATTCTTCTTAAAAATGTTTGTGTTTTTTTGGCGGATCTGCTGCAGTTCCGCCCAGATTGTATCTTAAACTTCCGGTTCGGGGGTTCTTAAAAAACTATTACATAAATATGCCTGGGGTGTAGGGGAAGGGGGGGGAAAGGGGGGTTACTGCTTTGCGTGTGCAGGGAACACTTACAACATAAAGCGAGACAATGACGTATACAACTAAGCATTACACACAATTACAAAAATGTATATGGATTACAATTAATATAAAAAAAAAACGTAGAACGTACAACAGTAAAACATAGTCAAGGGTGGTTTTAGGTTTTTTTTTGGGGGAGGGGGAGGTCGGCTGGGTGACATAATCAAGTGAAATTCACTTGTGGTCTGTGTGCGTGTAGGGGGTTGGTGGGTGTTTAGGGTATTGGGTGTTTAGGAGGGTGTGGCTGGTCAAGGGGGCGTGGCGTGGCGTCGCGACTTAGAAATTCATTTGTCATGTTTTGCGCGGCGGTGTCGGCGGCGGCGGCAGCGCAGGCGCAGACGCATGGCTCGGCGGTCGCATGCCGATGATCATGTCTTTGGGAATGTTTTTGTATTTTGCTGAAAGATGACGGGACTGGTGAGCAACTTGAGTATGCCAGGACGTGGCCGCATCGGCGGTGCCGGCTGCTGCATCTTACCTGCTCCCGCCGAAGCATTTGCCTGCTCCTCGCGCTGCTGCAATTGCTGCTGTTGCTGCTGCTTCAGCGCGTCGCTGTAAAAGTTCGACTTGCGCATATTGCCGCCACCCAGTCCCAAGCCGATGCCACCCAGTAGGGCGTTGATGTTGCTGTTGCCGTTGCTGCTGTTGCTGCTGCAGCCGTTGCTGCTGCTGTGGCTGCTGCCATTGTTGCAGCTGCTACTGCTATTGCCGCTGCCGCTGCCATTGTTATTGTTGTTGCAACTGACCACCGACGGCAAAGGCGGCTGCTGCTTCGAAGCATGCTTGTTGCCCACGCCCATGGCCATGCCCATGCCTAAGCCCATCCCAATCCCCGAATCCGCCGAAGGCGTCGTCAATGGCGTCTTACTTGGTACTAAACTTATGCTAGAAATTGCTGGTGGTAATGGAGATCTTTGTGAATCGTTGCCAATCTCGCCCGTGTACCTGTGAGTGGGTAAATATAGCGGTTAAAACTGGGTAGCTTCGTAGGTAGGGCAGCCTCCCACTCACTTTATATTGGTGTACTCGCGGCCAACCTGCAGGCTCTGCTCCTCGGCCCGCTTCCGGGCGATCAGGGTCTGGATGTAGTGCTGCACCGCATAGTAGACAAACTTGTACTGCGCCTCCGTTTGGACGAGGCCGGAACGTTGCGATCGGACCATCTGTATAGTGCGTTGGATGTCGATTTCGGTATCCAATCCTGGCGAGAAGCGATTAAAAAAAGGTTAAGTTGGGTTGGGGCTTTGGTTTTGCTTTGCTCTACAACGTTTGTCCTTCAGTTGCTTTGCAAAATCAGTCTAAGCTATTTCTTTGTTGTATACCCTTGCAGAAAAGTCAAAATATAAAGTATATATATTTTTGATCATCATCACTAGGACAGTCGATCTATCCATCTGTCCGCTCTTACGTTTTTACGCAAACTAGTCTCTCAGTATTATAGCTATTTGGATGAAACTTTTCCAAAAGTCTTATTTTTATTCCAGGTAGTATATATAAAATATACATATACAATACAACAAAAATATAAGTTCGCCGTTTTTAAATGTATAAGAATATACTCCGAGATATGATGGATTACTATTTTAGAATTACGGCTTTATAGAAAATCAGACAATGCTAGCAGCTATATGGTGTTATAGAAACGGTCGAAAAATGCATTGTTTTTATACATATATGCATTACTAAATGAAATATATAATTTCTGTTTTGTTTTCGTAGCTGCAAGGGTATATAAAGTTTGCTTCCTTTTTTTTATTTATGTTTTTTTAACTCAAATACTATATCTTACCATTGCGCACGATCTGGTCAAGGATCATGTCGATCACTATGAAAGTGCCAGTGCGTCCGATGCCCGCCGAGCAGTGCACGCAGATGGGACCCTGTAAATGGGGCAAATTAAGTCAGTTATAAGTGTAAGCATAATTTAATCTTCTGAATAATCGATGAAACACATACCGGCTTCTCGCCCGCCTGGGCCAGGTGGCTCTGGCGCGTGTTGACGTCCTGCAGGAAGTTGAGCACACAGCCCGGATCGGCGGGCACGCCGTGATCCGGCCACACCTGGAAGTGGTAGTGGAAGATGCGGCGTGCTGGCTGATCCCGCCACGAGACGAGAAACTCGCGCAACGTGTAGTCGCTGGTCGAGTTCTCCGAGACGCACTGTATCCGGGCCTGGCCGAACTGCTCCGTCTTGCCCTCGTCCGGCCAGTAGCGGGCGCACTTCTCCTTGCCGCGCTCGTACTCCTTGGTGGTCATCACGATTACCCGTGTGTTCTCCTGCCAGACCATGTTCCAGAAGTCCGTCACCGTGTTCACCTGCGGGGTGAGCAGGCAGCCCTGGGTGGCGATGTATGTCTTGAACATTTCGCGCTCCCTCTCACGCTCCCGCTCAGCCATCGACATGGACGATGAGCCGGCTCCACCAGCTCCTCCAGCTCCTCCAGCTACCGATCCCGAACCGTACGACGAATCGTTGGAGTGCTTTTTGAGCAGACCGGCCAGACAGCTGGTCGTGCCGCCGCCTGTGAGATTGGTGGGTGTGCCCGGTCCGTTGACACTGCTCACTCCGCTGGCTCCCGACGACCCATAGCCGGAGGAGGGCGAGGACGAGGCCGAGGACTCGCTGCGCTTGTGCTTGCTCAGCGAGTCCGACTTGCGACTGCAGGTGGCACAGTTGCTGTACGGCAGCGTTGCGCTCTTCACCGCGCACTGCACGCACGTCTTGTTCAGCACTTGGCAACTGGAGCAGTTTCGCTGGGTCTGGGCCGCCGTGCAGGCGGGGCACGAGGGCACGGAGCTGTTCAGGCTCTCCGACGAGCTGCTCATGTTGTACAGATCGCCGTCGGTGGGCAGGCGTATGTAGTTGGCATTGATGTACTCCGCCCCGGCCACGCTGTGCTCCACGTCCAGCAGCTTAACGCGCGTGTGGTCGTCTGCGATATGGAGGTGGTTAGGAAATTAGTAATTATTAGAAGATCTATAGCATATCTTATTCCAGGCTTAAAATATATTGGACCCTACTTTTAAGCCCCCATTATAAGTGATTTCCAACCTCTAGAGGTTGCTTTGGTTTTATTGACGGAAACACAATCGATTATTAATTAATTTTCATAAAACATCCGGAGAAAAAGTTCTTTAAAACGAACTTCCGGATTCAAAATGTATCGTAGCCTACTTGAATTCTACCAATAAGGGTGATTTCTAAGTTTTGAAGATTACTCTGACTTGTCTGATGTTTTTCTGATGATTATACAATATATAACATCCAAAACTTTCTGTTATTATTTGAACCTGCTTACGAAGTAAATTAAGTAAATGATTGTCATTGGAGTAGAGAGTTGTAATTGCCATATTGATTGGATTATAAAAGTTAGCTATACTCACATGGCAATATGTTGCGGTAGCGGTTCTTCAGCCGGTTCTCCTGCTTGTAGCCCTCGTTCCGCGAGAAGGTGTCCCGACTGTCCTGCTGCAGTGACTCGAACTCCTCCCAGAAGCCTCCCTGAAATCAGGTGGGATAAGTAATCGGAAAAGTTGGGGGCATTTCATTATCACTCACCTTGACCAGCTGTTCCACCCGGGCATTGATTCCGGCTGCCGTGATTCGCGTGGCGTTAAAGGGTTGCCGCAGGTGCACCACTGTTCCACACGTCTCCACCATTGGATTACGCTTGTAGTGCTCAATAAGTTCCGACAGGGTGGCAAACGATTCGCCGCCGCCGACGTCGTACTTCTTGTCCTGCAAGATCGGGGGGATTTCGGTTAGGAATCAGGTACTATAATAATAATAAAAATAATAATAATAATAATAAAGGTGCATTTTATTGCGGGACACGTGGAGGGGGTCGACGAGTTCGATGGAGCGTCAAGAGATTAGCTAATAAAATCGAAAACGTGACTGCAATGTTTAATGGGAAAAAGGCCAGCTAGACATGTAAATGGCATAATTGCAACCGCAAAAACCGCAAAAACTGCAAAAACCGCGCACACGGCTAAAGGTGTAGTAATAGTGGAAAAATGGTTTTGGAATTACGTTGAAACTGCAACTGCACTGCTTGGCCCGGTTGAAGCTCCTGCTTAAAGCAGTTGGCATGTCCCAAGGCAAAGCAGTAAAGCATTTAAGTTTATACAGTTAACACTCAATATATTGAACTAGGGAAACCTTAAAAAGTTGTAGGTTCTTTATTAAAAATAAGATTTAAATTATTTAAAATCAATTCTAGATTGTTTTCGTTAAATTGTTTTTTAATTTTTTTGAAAATACCATTAAACAATCTAACTTTAGGAGTTTGAACTGTAGCGTTTTAGCCACTGTACAGCAACAACAACGGCTAATAAATGCACATATTACTCGAGTATTGAGCCAAGGTCGAGCGATGAGGAACTTTATGGACAGTGGGACTTTGTTGCTATACTGCCATCGATTTGCATTTGCATTTTGCACCCTCCGAACAGAGGGGTGTTATATCTGGTTAGTTGGGTGGTTACATACAACATACCTGCCATCGAATCATGACATGCGTTACTTTGTCGTCCGTCCGCACGGATAGGACAAAATCGCCAGGTTTGCTCTGAGATTCACGGACGAGAAAAGAACCATTCTTGCCACGATCCAGGATCAATTTTTCCGCTTCCTTGCCAGAAAGATTGCCATGAAACCATCTGCAATGGGATATAGAAAAGTTCCAGGATAACCATTAGTAGGAATTTTTTGATCTGTGTCTATATGTATCTATATCTACCGATCGATGGCGCATCAACTGAACGAACTGAGCGTTTTACTGACTGAATGACTGAGTGCTCGACTGACGACTACGTGTTCGCTCAAAATGCAATTACAAACTATACGAGAAGCGCGCAAAAGCGCAAAATACTAGTGCCAACAACAACAACACCAGTAAAAACAACTAAAACTGCAACAAAAGCAACCACAATACCAATAAAAAAACCAACTACAACAACTAGTAGGAACCAAGCAGCGCAAATACAAATCGAATGTAAGTACTGTCAAGATTCAATGGGTGAGGTTTTTTCAAGTCTATTAGTCATACTTTCTTAAAAATTTTTCAAAATATATGTCTCTTTTGTTTTTAATATTTTGATGTTGTTATTGTGCCTTTGTGCTCTTATTTATTTTCTTTTCTAATTTATTTGTTATTGCACCTCCTATTTAAAGAAAAAATACTTTTTTTTTTAATTTTTTTTTTTTTGTTCTCATATAGTTTGTCACATTTAGAATCCATTATTATTATAATTCATTATTTTTCTGGGATCTTACTGTACATGTAGTTATTAAAGCACACACCAGTAAAAGTTCGAAGAAAACAGTCAAATGCAAGGCGACAATGGCAATAACAACAGCAATAGTGGCAACAACACGCATACGCCGTGTGGAAAAGCACAAGTTGAATCGAAGCCAGCTACTTGAGGCACGGGACTTATAAGTCGACCCGTCTGGCCTGCTCAGCTTAGTTGACTTGACAGACTTGAGATCGTCATCGCCATGGCAATCGCAATTGTATATTGCGATGTGACATAGAAAAAAAACGTGGCTAAATTATGCTCAAAAAGTGGCAAAAAGGGCCGTTTTAGAGCTCTAAACACTTGTGCCTAGGAATTATTTTCATAGTTTCTTTTAAAAATAAATAATTAGTTTAAAAGTAGATAAAATCTATTCGACATCGAATTTCGCAATTCGATTCGCACACCTCCCACTGTTGGCTTATAGTTCATTGCTTTTGTTTTGTTTCGTTTTACCTCCCTCCAACTATTTTGCATAAATAACACTAACTTAAAAAACTTGCTTTGAATGCCATTATCGACCCATGTGCTGCTGTTGTCTTTTCCATCTTTTAGCCCGCTTTCGAGTTCGTCGCCACCAACCAAATCAAACAAAAAAAAAAAAAACAAAATATACTGACTACGAGCAAAAGCTAGAAAACAATTGACAACATTGAGTTGTCCTTAAGCCGGTTTCAATTTAGTGCCTCTGGGGTCATAGATATCATAAAATATGTCATCGAGACGCGAGAATATGGATGGTGGTGGTGTCCGGGCGACTAAACACTCATGTTTAATGTATGCGACAGCATAGAAGTGCTAAGAGCTTAGTTCCCCCGGATATCCCTCCTACACAGAAAACAAAAATGTTTTCAGTGCAACAAAAATTTTATTTAAGATTATCTTATATTCTTAAAGTTTTTCTCTTTTCTAGATTAAGTAATAACTCCATGATAATTTCTCTGATTCCTTTGCCAGCAAATGTTCATTTTTTGCGATTATGACAGTTAATAACAATTTTTATCTGTGCATATTGATTGATTTTAGCCTGCTAAATCAATTCATCTTCCGCGTGCGATTGTGTGTGCCGTTGGCTTGGCTATTAATAGAAATTCATGTAGAAACAATTAACATTACATTAGAGCCACACACAGTCGTGCATTTCAATGCTGTCTGTTTTTTCAACCTGTTACAGATTCAAGGTGGCCCGAACCCGATCGGTTGGTAGTGATAAGAATGAGTTTTATAGGTTTATTTTTAGCAAAACGGAAGTTAAAAAAAAACTATTACAAGCGAGTCTGCGCATTTGCACACTGCTTGCTAGCACGTAGGCCGAAACACACTGCTTGAAATGCATCAAAAGCTTATGAACTGCTTGCCAGAGGCAAGTTTGACTCGTTCGTAAAGGTATCAGAAAAAACATACCTTTTTATTACCAAATGTTTAAGGTGATGAAGGAGAATTTCACTTTCGTAATTTGGGCTTTCTAAACTTGAAGTTAAAAACTAGTTGAACGATAAAAAATATTTAAATTAAAATCGAGAAAGCAGCTATTTCCGTTTGAACAGAATATGGTCAATATGAATAAATCGCGAATTCTTTACGGTGATTCAACAAATAACTCGGGCTGTGCGTGTGTGGAAAGGTTCTCGCGATATTTGCATAAGACAATTCACAGTTTTCGGACCACAGCTATTAGCACATTGGCGTATTATTTAGCCGATCGTTTATTTGCGTCCATCGAGCAAAGATGCCTCGAATTCGGGGACGCCTCGCCCTCTGGCGTCTGACCCCGTGAAATCAAGTTGAACTAAACAATTATCGCACCACACATCGATCATAACTCTCATATCCTTTGTGTAATTCTGCCGAACGTTGTTGTTTCCACCCATATTTCGGTGTTGAACTTAAATTTTAGCACTGTGACGATAATATAACACAACACAAATTACTTTTACTGCTCTCCCCCTTTTTTTCTCGTCGAATTAAATCGGGCAGATTCGGTGGAAAGGGTGGGGGAAGGGGTTGAGTTGGGTTAATCGGCAGTCGACAAAAATATCCACAGAAGTATTACCACCGGAGCGGAGTACGTCAGTGAAAATTTCACAACTTTTTGCATCATTTACAGTTACACTTACAGTCGCAGTCGCAGCCGCGAATACGAATGTGATATATTTACATACGAAGGAAGCTGAAGTTGAAACTGTGCGCCATTCATGAAAGCGCCGCCTAAGGTCAACAAACAGATTTACAGGCACACATGAGTGTGTGCAACTTATATGTGCGCATTGTACATGTATGGATCCCTGAGTTTTTTTAATCGTTTCGTTTGTCACAGGTTTATTTATTTTTTTGTGTGCCAACGCACCTGGAAAGGCGGCAGCGAAACGGGTGTTATGGGGGTTACGAAGAGGGACGCGGAATCAGGGACCGATGCCTTCATTTAATTAACTGCTTAGCTCGGAAAGGTGTTGGAGTGAGCTGCTTCTCCATACCCTAACCACCCACTCATCAGCAGTGTTCGGAGCTAAGAAATCAGGTGGTCCAAGCAAGTACAGTCCAGTCAAAATATAAGAACAGACTTTTAACTATTATATAATTATACTTTAAGTACACAGCTAATCTATGCTTATTATAAGTATTTAAAACTATCTATAAAGACTTTAAGACCATAAGATGCAAATCAGGGAGTTACTAAAAGTTCGTCTCGGGAAATTTAAACTTGGAGATTTTTCACCGTACGGGGGGGGGAAAGATTGGTCTAGAGCCGTTAACTTTCCGTGGAGTTTTTCCCCCTTGCAGTTGGGACATTCCACTGAGAGCATCTTTTAGTCGGCCGGCTGCATGAATTTGCACAAATTAAAGCCTTTTTATTTGATCAGCAGCAACAGCACACGGTTGTGCAATGGAAAAAACGGAAATATGCAAAACAGAAGGCAGCAGCGCTCGAAAGCCATTACGAGAAATGCGATTTCATAAATCGTTTATCAGCCGCATGGCAAAGGAAAACAAAAATAGCGGGAGATAAATATTGAGGGGGAGATCGAGGCGAGCAAGGGAGATTTTGGGGGCAGAAGGCGGGGGCTTCCCCATTGTTGACCTAGTGAAGTGACAAGTGAGAGACGCGTGACTCGATCCGAACACCGGAAATCGCGTGGATAGAACTGTCAAAGCTATTGGCAAATCATTCGCAGATCATTTGATATGATATACGTTAAGATAAAGTAAAAATTGTTTTAATGGGCTGAGAACAAAGCAAGGTGTATAAATAAGATATATACAAAGGATATGCCTTTATAAACAATTCCCTATCTGATTTGTATGTACTTACATTATACTAAATCCCATGAATGCTAACATTATTAGGACCGAATGAATTCCTTCAGTTTTCATGGTGCTAAGAGTATTTCCAAAAGGTTTAGCATAAATTAGAACCCAATAAAATATAACCACCAGAGGGAAAAACTCCTATAGATCAACTTAACAAGCCACTCAACACATTCACCTATAATGAATCAATTTCGATAGAAATCAACATAAATAACCAAATAACCAAAACTGAAAACTGGCTATAATACCAATTCAAGCTCAACTAAAAGTCAAAGATAATTAATGGGACATAATACTCCAGCAGAGATATATGTAAATATTCTGGGGAAAAGTAAGAATTGAGACTTCTAAGACGGGGACAGCCCACACAAACAATGAAACAAACAAACAGAAGGTACATGGCACAAGCCGCCGAGAGAAACACCGAGACGAGATCGGTTTGGGAGTGGGATGGAATCTTTGTGGAATGTGGGCAGTGGTCGGCGGACAGCAAGACATGGGTAAACATTCTGTCGGAGATTGAAGAGATAATTCCGATCCAAGATACAATGTCTGCAGTGGATAATACGACGAACTCTCCCGTTTCCTCAAGTGCGTAATTCCACTTGGGCATTTAGATAAGTATTTACCCCACCACCCACAACTCAATCTTCAGCTCTAAATGTAAAAATCAATATCGAATTTTGCCTGACAATGGGCTAATTGTTTGAGCAGGGGATGAAATACCATATTTGAGTGGCGATCTAAGCAGGTCCATACCATTTCATTTCCCCCTTCACTCGGCGGACATTCATTCATTCATATTAGAACGTCAATTTACGACATTTTTTCCTCCGGCACGATTGCTTGTTTTTGTTGTCGAATGCTTTGCGTAAATATTTACTCATTTTGCGTGGCAATTTTGAACACATGACAATTTGTGTTGTGCTGTTTTTTTGTTTTGTTTCGGCGTCAACTGCCTGTGATTGCCTGCCTTATTAGGGTTAATGCTAATGGGCAGCAGATTGGCTCCAGACTTCTCTCGAATCGTTTGCTACTCTACGACATGTGACCGACAAACAGGGCGATGCTAATTTAAAATTGTTTTTGATTCTTGTTTTTCTGATCGCTAATTGAGAGGCAATTTTTGATTATGTCTTCCCTAGGATATCTTTTGGAGAGGTGAAATAGCTCAAAACTATCATTAAAAGGTTTGCAGGGTATCATTTAACTTGCAACCTAACAAATTAAAAATTTGCACTTTGATAACAATTTACAATTAATATCACACGCGCCCCAAATCAGTTAATTACGTTTCACAGACGTTTTTTGCTAGCCCCTGATTCGGTTTTAAATTTTTGTGGTGGCTCTGGACCAACCAGAGGACTTACGTGTAACCGTGGAGCTGGAACCGCATGTTGGCCAAAAGGGCCAGGGTGCTGGTGGAGCAGCTGGCTCCGCCGAAGGCTGTCGGGAATTGGGGCGGGGTGGCTGTCCAGGAGGTGGGCGTAGCCGGGTAGGAGGCCTGGGGGCTGGGAGTGAGCCGGTGGAGGGATTCAGTGGACGTGGAGGCGGATGCGGCGGCAGAGGGTTGGGCGGACAGGGGACGACGTCTACGGTTGTTCAGGCGGTTGTTGTGCTGATTACTTTGGTCAGTGCTCCTGGCCACACCCTTGATGATCTGGGCCAGCTCGTCATGGGTCATGCAGTTCTTGCACGCCGTTTCCTTTTCCTGGGCCTCCGGTGTCTCCGGTGGGGTGCTCTTTGACTTCTGACTTTTGGCGGCCTTGAACTTGCCGCTCCTTTCACGCTCCTCCGATCGTCTTCCCTTACTACTTCCGTAGTGCGCTTGTATGGCTCTTTCGTACTCAAAGTTGCGCTGCTTATTGTACGCATTGTTGTTTATACTATTATTATTGTTAATGTTGTTACTATTATTATTATTATTATTATTGTAGACTTGTTTCTCTTGCAGCTTGTGATTGACAACATTGCCCAGCGAGCTGGACAACTTTTCCAGGCATTTGTTGAACAGCATTTTCTTCACTCTTGTTTCCTTGCACACACCAAAACCACAATAAAAAAAAAAACTTAGATAGTAGTATTCCACCGTGGAAAAATGCGTCTCGGTTGTGTTTTTTTTTATTATTTTCCTTTTTGTTTTATGTAACAACTTGCCCACACACAACACAACGAACGCACACACACTGAAAACACAAAAGCTAGAATTCTTGTTTTAGCCGCTGTTTGTTTTGCTTTTTTGTTTGCTTTTTTATTGATCTTAGTCAGCGCGATTAAGGTGAAATGTGTCTATAGTTTGTCAAATAGAGTGTTGTTTACCCCGCATTCGTTTTTTATTGCACAATTTTCTTGAGAGCCAACAACAATTTCTTCTCGTATGACTTGACTTTGGTGGCTTTGACCACAGTGGTGCTGGTAGTGCCGGTGGTTGTGCTGCTTGTAGTGGTGGTTTTGACCTCTGCTGGTGATGCGGCCTGCTCGTTGAGACGCGTTTGTGCCGCAATTAAATGCTCCAGGACAAATGTGGCCGAAGGCATAATTTTCGCGGCTTGGTTTTTGAAACACACAAAAAACTCGTTGGATGTAAGTAATAACACGAACTGAGCGAACTGCTTGCCGCTCAACAGCGACTGCTTGCGAGCTGAGCTGAGCTGCTAACCCGTTGGACCGCAACTCGAGAATGAAGCGCCTGCTGCCGGGTCTGAAGCTTTTTGCCTCGGATTCAGATCCGAAATCAGATTCTTGGCGTTGTCTCAGCGCGGCTTCTCTCTCTCTGCCCGATTCTTCCGCTCTCTCAGTGGCTATATCGCTCCGTGGGGGGATGTGGATGTGAACTGGTGGTGTTCTAAGCGCTGGGGAATGAATGAATCTTGTCTGGCTGGGTACGGCGCTTTTTGTTTTTATATCCAGCCACCGCTCTGGTTAACCCTTCCTGCCGAACTCGTGGGTCAGGGGGTTTTTGTTTATGGGCTTTATTTACTGTCAGCGAGCCAGAAGTCACAGCAAGCAAACAAAACAAAAAACGAAAGACGTTATTCCACACATTGATTGGTAGTGGGTGTGTGCACTGTTTGTGTTGGCTCCTGTTGCAGGCCTTCAAACAGCTTGGTCCTTCGTTGAGCGCTACGAAAATGATGTACATATTCGGGCACCACATGATTGTTTGTATCGAAAGTGTAAGCTCCCTTTCGATTGAATTCTAATTCAGCAACATTTTTAGTTTTAACCTCAACTTAGAGATAGTGCCAGGCTATATAAATCGCACCCGCTCTATGCTTATGAGTAATGTCTGTACTCCTGCATGAATCACCGCCTTCATCGCAATCAGAATCCGAATCATATACATTTCGAAAAGCAAACACACAGAAAATTAATTTCATTCCGAAAATGGTCATTTCGTGATATGAGTGTGTGTTGTGTGGCTTGTAAGAAAAAACAAATACAAAAAGCGCTTTAACGCCGTCCGTTGCCTGCCACCGGAAATGAAACTGAAACCGCACAGCTACAATTGTGGCGGCCATCTAGGCAAGGAGTTGGGCGGTCCAGGGGCAGGCGGTGGGTAGCTGGGTAGGTGAGAGCTAGAAGCGAGTAGTGCCAAAGCTTTCTTACAGCGCAGGCGCAGACGTCAGAGGAGCGAACGTGCGCAGAATATTTTTTTTTGGCCAACACAACAGAGTCGGCAGACGTGCGACTGCCTACGAACTGCGATCTTAGCAACACTTAACTATCAACCACATACCAACCGCGCTCCCCGATGGCAAACTGTTTATTTTTTTCCTATATTTCGTCATTGGTTTTTCTCTGGAACCCAACTAGAACTTGATTCCAAAACAACCTTCAATGTCCACTCAATTGAAAATGTAACCAAAGTGTTCGAAAAAAATTGAAACAGAAGCTCATGAATCAGCTGGGGAAAACCCCACCAGATTTGCATGCACCAATGCAAACAGGATGTCCCAAGCTAGATGGACCAGTTCTCATAGAAAACAAAATGCGCGGCATTGGGCGAAGTAGAAGAATATTAGTCGTTGCAATGCAGTGGAGTGAAAGTAGTCGAATATAATCGAAGTTTGAAAACTAAAGCCCTAATCCAAATAAATTAAATTTTGACCCTGCTTCGATCTTTGGTAACATATAAACTTCAATATAACTTTTGTCTTAAACCAAACGCTTTTACAACGTGTTTATAATATTCTTATTATTTCAAGCTGAAACAACTAGAAGCTGCAAGGTAGTAGATACCCAACCAAGAAATAAAATTGATTTGCGCCGACAAATAGTTTCCTCCAGAGCTCTGTGACCTTGGCTATCCCGAAATCGTTGCTGCAGACCCAGACCGCATTTGGGTACAGCCAAAACCATTTGCAGGGGCAATGGGCACATTTGCAGGGGCAATGGGGAGTGGGCCAAAAAATAAACATAATTTATTGTTAATAATTTGTTGTTTCATCGGGGGAACTTAATATGCCAGGCACACAACTATGAGCCCACCATTTATTGTTCGCCATTCCGAATTCGGTTTTGGGTCTGAGATCGAGATTCCGAGATGGAAACCAGGGACCGAAGTCGCTAAAGCTAAAGCATAATCCATAAGTGAAGCGTGGCAGGCCGAGTGCCCGACGACTATCCCCCAAAATGGCTGGCTAACCCAGTCGCCATCCAATTGCGTGTCGATGGCAGGGACTGATCTATGGACGTGTTCGCACTAAATCAGCCAAAAACCAACAGAACTTTTTGCGGCGGCCGCAAAAGCGTTTTGTTTTGCGAACTGAGTTTATGGGCCATAATATTGGGCATTTGTCAGCTGGATATATAGTACATTTTGAACTGAGTACCTTGAGACCCCACCCAAAAAAGGGGTAGATCAAAAACCGACAGAGAAAGGCAATTAGGAAATTTATTCTAAAATTATTCTAAAATAATTTGCAAATCATAAACTTACTGACAGTGGGAGTGTTTGTAATCGTAGTATTAGTCAGCTAAAATGTAAGTGCTAACAAGGAGACATAGCGTATTTTGAATATGATTCATTTTAAAAATCGATTCAGTGACAAGCAGATAGTTTGAGAATCTTCATCTAAAAATAATGTTCAAGATTCTGTCAACAACTTAGTTGTCCAGGGAGATATATAAATATATATTTTGTTTAAATTTCGCAAAAAGTTATTTTCTAAAAATGTATACACTTATGACATACTACATGCTTAGTTAACTTTTTACCTAAGTAAGTTTACTTCCGTTAGTAAAATAAGTCTCGATTTCTATTTAAAGGGGATCACATTTGTCAAGGTTTGGAGAGGCAAGCCCAGTTTTGCTTGTAACTAGATGGGTTTCCCTACTACTGCTGAGATTTATGATAATACTCCATATTTTTCATGCTCTACCAGCCCAAAACATCTACCGAGATTTACGATCATTGTTATAATTTATATTATTAGATGTAATGCTACTACGTGAGGTCGTCCATGTAACACTTTTTTTGTATCCAGATCAGCTCTCCAATTCCACAAATAGCCGGGGACTCACACGCTGTTTAATGGCGGAAAAGTTTTCCTTTTAGCTCGGGGAATCGCATTTGGGCGGTTCGTTGGCCCCAAACAATTTCGATTTTCTTTGCGTTCCGACGAATCCCATATCCCCATTTATTGTCTCGAATCTCTTCTCGTTTTCTTTGTGGCTCTTTGTTTTGGTGAGGTTTTGGCGAGGGATTTACCTGAATAAATAATTGCGGGGCGGACTTTGTGCGGATCGTGCCGGGAGCTTTAAATTGTCGTGTGCTGGGCCGTTTAGGATACCAAATATAATGACCGATCATCTCGATTTGCGTACATATACGTGCGCTTAAAATTTAATTCAGTTCATGTGATTAACAAGGGGAAAAAACATTAAGTACTGATAGTTTCAGGTGAATTACAATAAAACTTATTTGTAACTAAATATCATTTGGTCAGCAGTAATTCAGCTATAATTCACGGATCACTTTATTACAATGGTTTAAAAATGGATAAAAGAAAGGTTGTATTTATCACTTTTATCGCTTATCTTCTCGAATCTCTTACTACTAGTATAATTTGTATATTAACGAACAAAAAATATGCTTTCAAATTTTAATTTTACAAAATCGTTGTGTTTGATAATCGTGATCATCAAATTAACCGATTTTCAGCTGATCTCGGAAGTACAGTTTAGTCAGCCTACGTTTTGATTTAGTTAAGCTATTAATATTTGATGTCAACAATTAAATTACAATCAATCTACGAGAATTAGATGGATATTATATAAGCAGTAGGTCTAGTGGGGTTCGGTGTGCCAAGCACCTCAGAGCGGTACAGTTGGGCCTGCATTAAGCGGCGTCATTAGGCGGTCCGCCGATCTGTACTATATAATCAGAGCGTCAGAGCTCAAAAGCTGACAGCTTGATCGGGTGCATCTGGCGATGCTGTTTGCCCGGGGGTTGCGTTGATGAGATCGTTCCCAATAGGCGCTGGGCCACATATATTGGATAAAATTCCTCGGGGGACGACGAGTCAACAGTTTGTGGAGTATGTGACGGATGACACGATCGAGGTGATTTGGTAAAGTGGGCGGTAAAGTACCTGCAGCCAAATACATGCACATGGATGACTGTGGTGCGTGTTTGCTCAATTCACTTTATTTGCGTATGTGCACAGAGGAGAACATTTGGAACGGAAATTCAATTTGGAACAATGATTTTCCAAATTTTTTAGATTTTAAAAAGAAAGTCTTGCCTGTACCAAATAAGATTCAAATATATTATATTTAAAACTAGCTATTTTCCCTTAAATATATTTAAAGAAATTATAGAGTTGTAAAGAATATGTGTATTGTTAATGTTTATAGAACACACACTTTGTGGATATTTTCTCAAAGTGTACCCTTCTATAGACATCTATTGCTGCTGCTGTTACGGCTGATGCCTTAGATACAGATACGGATACGGGTACAGATACAGATACAGCTATAGATACAGCTACGTGCACGGCATAATTTATAAACCATTTGTAGGCTTGTCTTAATGGCGAAAATTGAAAGCATTTAGCATTTCAGGCACTCGAGAGTCTGATGGATGGGTAAGGGCGAAGGGCGTGGGCGAGCGCTGGGGGAAGGGGGTGGAGATACGGGGGTGAAGTGCCCGTAATGCCGTATGCCATTATCCAACACAAACAATTCGAAAGCTTAATTGGCGATTGTCAGATTTGTTTTGCTCCTCGACCGATCGGCTAAGCAGTGGAAGAAAGTGCGCGAAACTA